TCTGGTTACCTGGTCTGGTTACCTGGTGTGGTTACCTGGTCTGGTTACCTGGTCTGGTTACCTGGTCTGGTTACCTGGTTACCTGGTCTGGTTACCTGGTTATCTGATGGCGGCGGCTGGCTGGACACCAGCGGCTGCAGCAGCTCCAGGACGTCCAGCGGTCTGAACTTAACCACAGACTTCTGGCTGATGAAGTCCTTTATGAGGGCCGTGGCTCTGTTCAGGGGGCTGTGGGCCGGGCGCCTGGGGGCCGGAGGAGAGGAGTTAGCGCTCAAACTGGGACTTAGCTAGCATCTTTCTATCACACATCAGTTCATTTTTGTGAGGTTTTAGGACCCTTTCAGTCCTCTGAGCACCACGATGACATCAGAGGATCTGTTTCCCCATCAGGACTTCAAGATTGTGTGTTGTTAAATCTTACTGGTGATAGTTTGAACTAGACTGGTCCCGATTTGATATCTGGATCAGATTGACTGGCAGGAGAAAAAACAGATCCAGACTTTAGATCCAGTTTTTATTAAAGTCCGATCCCACATTAGCATTAGCATCTGTAACCACAGGTCTGTATCCTAACCATTAAGTTGTTATCAGAGCATTAGCATTAGCATTAGCATTAGCATCTGTAACCACAGGTCTGTATCCTAACCATTAAGTTGTTATCAGAGTAAATCCCTGTTCAACATGAGTCTGACAACTAAAGTAGTAGATAAATAACTTAAGTTTGAGTATTTAATATTTTAACATTGATTAAAGAAGTTTGTGGTCTAAAGTCCGATCCCACACGAGCATTAGCATTAGCATCTGTAACCCACAGGTCTGTGTCCTAACCATTAAGTTGTTATCAGAGCATTAGCATTAGCATTAGCATCTGTAACCACAGGTCTGTATCCTAACCATTAAGTTGTTATCAGAGCATTAGCATTAGCATTAGCATCTGTAACCCACAGGTCTGTGTCCTAACCATTAAGTTGTTATCAGAGTAAATCCCTGTTCAACATGAGTCTGACAACTAAGTAAGTAGATAAATAACTTTAGACTTTAACACAGGCTCTGATAGGCCGGGATCGGATCAGAAGGGAAGGGGAAAAAGCTGGATCGGGACATCCCTAGCTCAGACGGCTGTAAATCTGAAAGGAATCGGGATCTTTTTCAACATCAGGGTGGACGGTGGCCCTTACCCGTCTCCTCTGGGGGGGGTGGGCTGGTCGTAGCACTGCCTGTAGAGCTGAGGGAGCTCCAGCATCCAGTCGATCTGCAGGGCCATCACCGGGTCAGCCGCCCTGTCTGAGACACACAGATCCACAGATTTACCCGCATCCAGATTCTGTTCTGAGTTTATTCCCTGCTAGCCCACAAGTCCCTGATGCTAGCCTACAAGTCCCTGATGCTAGCCTACAAGTCCCTGATGCTAGCCCACAAGTCTCTGATGCTAGCCTACAAGTCCCTGATGCTAGCCTACAAGTCCCTGATGCTAGCCCACAAGTCCCTGATGCTAGCCCACAAGTCCCTGATGCTAGCCCACAAGCCCCTGATGCTAGCCCACAAGTCCCTGATGCTAGCCCACAAGTCCCTGATGCTAGCCCACAAGTCCCTGATGCTAGCCCACAAGTCCCTGATGCTAGCCCACAAGTCCCTGATGCTAGTCCACAAGTCCCTGATGCTAGCCTACA